TTAATGTCCTACCACTTTGTTTGAAATTCTGTTTTTATTGTTTTTGTGTTGTTTTGTTTATGTCTTTGTTTTTGTTAATTTGGTTTTGCTCTTTTCTCTTTAAAATAATATATAACAGTGTAAATGGCTATTAAACTAAAGATTAATTTTCATCCACAGCTGCCCCCTCCCCCGTGCTCCCAGGTTATAACATTCAGAGAGAAAATATTCCAAAAAAGAATGGGAATTATCACTATGTTTAAGAGCAAGGAAATTCCCCCCAAAATCTCCAAACAGACTTCTCTGATTTAGTACTGGTGAAAACTAGATCACATGACCATTCTTAACCAATCATTGCTAAGGTTAATAGAATTACTGGAGTTTATCCAGCCCAACTGGGGTCTTTTCTTAGAGCTAGAGAGTGAAAGTCTGTTCCCTGAATTTGAGAGCTGTCTGAAGTTAGTATAAGTGTTGGGAAAGACGGTTTGCCCCTTGACTTTTAATGAGTCAAATCCTCAGGGAAAGAGCTTTAGTGCTATCAACAATTCATACATTGAAACTAGAAAGGGAAAAGAGAAGGCATGGTGGCAAAGCAGGAGGGCTGAAAAATTAATAAAAATATGGTGCACTGCAATGGGGGTTGGAATAAATGATCCTGAAGCTCCCACCCAATCCTGAGATAATATTATGTTCTGTGGGTTTCCTGACATCACCATTTATGAGCATGGGAATTCAGAACACATTTTAACACACGAGTGGTGATCTAAGAAGCCAAATCAATTTCTGTTACTCAGAGTGGCTGATCAAATCTTATTAGTGTTCCACGTAAGCGAGACTTATTTCTTCTACTATTCACAGGTATGGGAAAACAAATTTCAGAATAATGACAGTGAGGTGAAAACTCAGGGAAGAGGATGGGATGGGAGTGACTTAGAAACTGCACATAGTATAAAGATTTAAAAGGTGAAGGAATGTTGTTGTAGTGGATTGATAACTGGTGGTTGCCTTATAACCCTCAGCTGAACTGAGTAAGCATGGTGCTGGGTGTTGGAGGCCCACCTGGGGATAGGGATAAGCATAAGAGGCAGAATTGGAGAAGAAGAAGGATGGCTGTTGGGAGCTGAGAAAGGCTGTGGAGCTGGTAGAAGCTGTAAGGAGCTGCTGGTTGTTTTGTAGGAGCTCGTCATGCTGGCTTTCCTAATGAACTTGGCTGTTTTCATCCTCTGAGGAGCTTGGGACCTCGTTGGCACTGAGAATGGCTTTGGTTCACTTTGGGGGAGCTCCGGTCCTCACTCTGAGCATTGCTTCCTTGGTTCTGGAGGGGAAGATGGTGCACTGCCGGTCTCCTGGAGAGGCTTGCTGCGTTGGCTTCCCTGATGAGAACTCGGCCACCTTGATCACTGGAGGAGCTCGGGACCTCACTGTTGCTGAGGATGGCTGTGGTACCTTTCGGGGGAGCTCTGGTTCTTCTGAGCATCGCTTCCTGGCTCCAGTGCAGATCCCTCAGCCTGCTAGCACTGATCCTTCATCCTGCTGCCACAGACATCCCAGATTCCACCACTGACCTTTGGGCCTCCGCAGCACAGATCTGTAAAACAGGCCTGCATGAGATGTTGTTGTAGGCTGTGGGCCTCCAGTTGGATTCATGGGAGGCATTGTTATGAGCTGTAGGTATTCAGCTGGACTCATGCAGGACATTTCCGTGGGATCCAGGCTCTCAACTTGGTTCTTGGTCTAAAATCTGTAGACAGATTTCCTGCACTCTTTTGTACATCGTTGTTTGGGTGATTATTGTAAATAATCATATAAAATATGTGTCCTGTGTTATATTGTTCCCCTTGCAAAAATAAGCCCCAAACCAACACACCTGTCTACAAATATGTTATGATTTCCAAATGTATATGCCTGTCCTCTGTCCTGAGTTTTCAACTGTCACGCTGGACAGCTCCACTCAAAGCTGGCACAGGCACTTACTTCATCATGGCCAGCGCTAACTCTATCCTGAAACTGCTCTTTGACTGTGCTTCTGTAAGTCCCAACTACTATTCTTTCATCTCATATTCTCTCTCTTTCTCCTCCTCATGTTTCTCTCTCTTATAGCAATGGTGATTGAACCCAGGCCTTTTTCTAAAGGACTTTTCTTAAAAACTATTATTATTATTCTTTTGAGACACGGTCTTGCTAAATTGCCCAGGCTAGACTTGAACTTTCAATTCTCCTGCCTCAGCCTCCCAGAGTGCTGGAGTTACAGGCAGGCACCACTCTAACCAGCTCCCTACTCTTTTTTACTTAGAGATTCAACAAACATGTGATTCTGACAGTGTTTTTTCCCTAATTATAAGGGATCAATAGTTTCCCACCAATTGCTGCCTAGTCAAATTCTTTGGCAGGTGACTCCATGCCCTTCTGCTGGTCTCACTTGGAAGACGTCCTCAGGGTTTTTGCTAAACTGTATCCCTACCTCATATACCTTCACCACTCCACAGCTCCCCCTTTTCATGTTCCCTCCGCAGGAAACATCTTCCCTTGCTGCTCCTTATTAACTCTTAATCATCCTCCAAGCTGCTGCTCCTTACTTGGCCAAGAAAGCTGCTTTGACCTTCACCCCCACCCCTGCCAGGAGCTCAGCTGGGTGCCTGTCTGCTCTCAGAAAACTTTGCCCACCTTTGTCATGGAGCCCAAGCATGTTATGCGAAAATCATTGATCACTTCTCTTGCTAATGGACGGGCTCACTTTCTTACTCTTTATCTTAGCACTTTCCACAATGCCTCCCAGAGAGCGGGCACTAAACAACTGTTTGTTGAACACAACCATTAAGAAGAGATGAAATTGAGGGAGGGGGAGGAGGTGCAGAGGAAGAGAAAGAAGGAAGACATTAAGCTGAGAATGCCAGGCAGTGCGTGGTCACCCCATTCTAGGGTCAGCACCTCCATCTTGCATCACAGAATCTGGCTTCCCGCTCCATCTTACCATTCTGCACTTTCCAGAAGAGGAACTCAGCCTTTCCTGGACGAGGATGTGTGGTTTCGGTCACACATGAGTAGGACTGAAAGGCTAGTTTCAGAGAAAATTCTTTGTCGCCCTCACTCTGACAGCCTGTCACTGCCTCCAACCAAAACACGCGCAGGCACGTAGGATTTTGGTCTTAGCGACTGCTTTTAACTCTTAGCCCCCGGCCCCGCGCCCTGCCGCTTTCTCCAAGGACACAAGCCAACAACCGTGACTGCGACTTTGTCTTGGAGTGACCTCCTAACTTTGAAAGGTAGACGCGGGTCTCCTTTCTACAGACCTGGCCGAGCACAAAAATGGGCCCCTCTCCCCTAGTCAGCTGTAACATACAGATTTCAGTCCGGGGACAAAGGGATTTTAAAGCTGAGTCTTAGAAACCCAGACCGTTTTTCTCACTCAGCTGGGAAAAGAGGGATACCAGATGCCACGCCGGGCTGGGGCTACCTTGTATCTATGTGCGTGCCTAAGCAAAGAGTTCAAGGGACCAGATCTAGGTTCTTCACACTTCGTGGCACAATCCTCTCAGGCAAGCCCCTTGAGTCCTGGCCTCAGTTTAGGAACCTGTAGCAATGGGTTTGACCTTTTTATCCCGGCTACCAGCATCACCACTAGGGAGAGGCAGAGGCTTAAGGAAACGCAAACTCCCTTTCTGGACGCCCACCAACCCCGGCTTGGCTAGGGTGTGACCCGAAGCGAGGGCTGAAGCGGTTTTCGCCGGGACGTCTGACCCTGCAGAGGGCCGGCTCCGGACAGGTCCCTCGCCTTTCTTCTGGGGGCCCTCTTTGGCCCCCTCCTTCGCCGGGGTAACTGGTGTCGGGCTTTGGTGCCCAGGCACACCAAGTGCGGCGAGCTGGCCGGGTGGGGTAAGAGGGAAGGAGTCCTACCCCCGCGGGCGCCCGGGCCGGAACGTGGGCGGCGGTGCGCGGCTGCCCCCCCTCGCGGCGCTCCCGCGTGTGCGGGTGTGCGAGTGCGTGTATCTCCGTCGCTCCCTCTCGCACACGCTCGGGCACTAGTGCAGGCTGCGAGCCGGCGGCTCTGCTGGGCTCGCCCGCTCCAGCCGCTCCGCGCCCTCCTCGCCGCCGCCGCCACCGCTGCA